CATGATAAAAGCTGAGATGGGCGGAGTCAGTAGCCAAGGCTGCTGCTTCCGTACTAATGACTGAAGTTTAAAGCAATAGATTCACAATAAGGCAGATTCAGATGGAATAAGACTTTAAATGGTTTGCAGTGTATGTAAAAATCTACATAGGCTTGAAAGAGAGAAGAAAGTGAATATAGACAGTTATATAAAGAAATAGTTTTTAAAAAATGAAGTTTTTAAAGAGACAGTAAAGGTGATATAAAAATAAGCCACGTAAAGATGGATATTACACAGAGATTCTGTATTATATTGTCCTTGGAATTTTTAACTGCAGAGAAATATTGATTGTAAAAGCTGCTGAGTTAAATTTTGAAATCAAGATATCTTTAAAATATACATATTGACTTAACTCAGCAGCTTTTACAATTATGTCTAAGGATATGTTGCTTTGGAAAAGAGGTTCTGCTTTTGTTTCAACAGAAGATGAGAACCTATGGGTTGCTTCCAGGCTCATATGGTTTGATCAAGGAAGATCCCAAGAGGTCTCCAAAGGATCCAACATCCAAAATCAGCTTCAAGGCAACTGGCTCAGACAGTGCAGCATCACAGACTACTCCAGTCAGGACTTGACCATAATTCTTAATTTTCTCAGGATCCCCATAAGATTACCAGTACCCACAACCAGCAGGAAGTAGTATGAGAAGCTATGCCCAAATTCCCAAAATATTGTTTATAAATGTGTATTTTTATTTAAAGGGGGTTGATTATAAAGGCAATCTCTTTCTAAAGAAGAAAAGGGGATAGTATAGATATGATAGGATGAAAGAGGAGATTATTGAATCTACTTTTAAAGAGCAACAACTTGTTTGAAATGTTTTACAATGCTATGGATTTTAGTTTATTGATACAAATTTAAAGTTCATTTTGTTATACTGTATATATACTTATACTCTCATTTAAGGTATTATGTTTATGTAACTCATTTGAATTGTAATGGATAATTAAGAAATACAGATTAATAATTAGTCTTCAATGATTGTCAAACTTATAGTCATGTTAAGTTTTCTAGGTATACATAGAGATAATTCAGTTAGGTAGATAATCTTCAAACACTTCAAAGACCTACAGAATATGGCATTTAAAATGTTTTAAAAACTTAAGACTTTCTGGACAATGGGACATGTCTGTTCCTGGCAGCAATGATTTACTTCAAAGAGAAAGATGGGCATCAAAGACACTACATATAGAGTTTATCTTCTTGTTGTCAAAAATAGCCATTTGGACAAGAAACTGTTCTTGTGTGGATTGCTTGACAAAATATTGTAATGACTAGACATGCAGGATCCATAGGAAGGTGACCACTGAACTATGAAAGGCAAAATGATTCTTCAGGTTCCTGCTACTGCCAGACATTCTAGAGGACACAGAGAAAAGTGACTGAGAAACTTTAGGCCTATAGGCTGAAGATGGATACTCCAACATTGTAGATGAACTTTAGGTGACTGTCCAGGCAGCCAGTTATCTGTGTCATTCTAGATTTTTGGAAGTTGCTTACAATGTACTTCTTGTTTACTTAGGTAATATTATATCCTTCTGGTATCTTTGATGTAGTTTAAGACTAGATAGTTGTAATTTTCCTTGGTTATGATAAAAGATAAATCAGATATGAAACTTTAGACTCACAAATACAGATATTTTCTTTAATTTTGCCAAATACAAATAGACTAGATATTGTAACTATAATTTTTGCTTGATAACTGTTCTATTATATGTAATATTACTTTGCTAAAGTTAAAAACCTTCCTTTTTTGATTAGACAAAAAAGGGGAAGTACTGTGGAATGTTGTTCTGTATGCTGTGAATGTATATTACTCTGATTGGTTGATAAATATAATGCTGACTAGCCAGTAGACAGACAGGAAGTATAGGCAGGATAAGCAGACAAGGAGAATTCTGGGAAGAGGAAGGCTGAGTCAGGAGTCACCAGCCAGACACAGAGGAAGCAAGATGACAAGGCAGAACTGAGAAAAGGTACCAAGCCATGTGGCTAAACATAAATAAAAATTATGGGTTAAGTGTAAGAGCTCGTCAGTAATAAGCCTGAGCTAACAGCCATACAGTTCATAATTAATATAAGCCTCTATGTGTTTATTTGGGTCTGAGCAGCTGTAGACCAGGTGGGACACAGGAAAACTTCCATCTACAAGAGGGGCCTGAACTGGCCTACTCCAGTAATCAGAATGGTGAATACCCTAACTGTCATTATTAGAGCCTTCATCTGGTAACTGACAGAAGCAGATGCAGAGCAACTGAGCACCAGACTGAGCTCCAGGGGTCCAGTCAGTGAGAGATAGAAGGAATTCCATGAGCAAAGGACATCGAGATCATGATGGAGAAACATAGAGACAGCCAAGCCAAACTAGTGGGAACTCATGAACTGTGGACCAATAACTGTGGAGCTCCCATGGCACTGTACTAGGTCCTCTGCATAGGCAAGAGAGTTGTTTAGCTTAAACTGTTTAGAGGGCCCCCAGCAATTGGATCAGGATCCATCCCTGGTGCATGAGTGGACTTTTTGGAGTCCAGTGCCTATAGTGGGACACCTTGCACAGTCTTGGTGCTGGGGGGAAGGGGGAAGGGAGTGGTTGGACCTGCCTCAACTGAATGTACCAGGTGCTGCTGACTTCCCATGGGAGACCTTGCCTTGGAGGAGGTGGGAATGGCAAGTGGGTTGAGGGGAAGGCTAGGGGGTGGGAGAAGGGAGGAGAGGGGGATCTGTGGTTGGTATGTAAAATGAATAGAAAATTTCTTAAAAGAAGAAAAAATTGGCATTTAAAATATTTAATAACATAGGCTTTTCTTGATATGAGACACATCTGCTCCTAGTGGCATCCATCTGCCTCAAAAAGGGATGATGGATATCGAAGTAACTCCATATGGAGTTTGCTTTCTTTGTGGCAAAAGCAAACCATTTGGGCAAGAAGCTGCCTTTGCCTTGACTACTGACAGTATGCTGTCCAAATCTGACAAGCAGGACACACAAGGAAGTGACTGCCAAACCTTGAAAGACAGAGTAGGGCAGTCCTTCACAAGTTCCTGCTTCAGAAAAGTCTGTCAGATATTCTAGGCCTGTAGGCCAAAGATGGATGCCCCAACACTACAGAGGAACTTTGGGTGACTGTCCAGGCCATCAGCAGTTTCTATCATTTCTCTTAGTTTTAGAAGTCACTTACTATGCACTTCCTGCTTACTCGGCTAATATTATATCCCTCTCTGGTCTTTGATGGGATTGAAGACTAGACAGTTACTGTTACAGTTCTCCTGAATCATGGTAAAAGGTTTATGTATTCTGGACTCTGCAGGAGAGGACAGCTAATGGAGTAATCTCTCTAAATTTGCCAGTTACATATGGACTGGACATTGAGAATGTATTTCTCACTTGATAATTATTCTTATAGTATCAAGTTTCATTTTTGTTAAGGTTATTACCTTTCTTTTATATTTGGGAAATACTTGATAATTATTTTTATTGTTTATAGTGTTTTACTGTGTTAGAGTTAGAACCTTTCCTTTTAATTAGAGAAAAAGGGGGAAATGTTACAGGAATTCTGTTTATGCCCTGGTCCATTATCCAATTAAATAGAGCATTTGGTCCAAGAGATGGAGTTCACATTCAGCTGGTTGGAATGGAATAATAACTCCTTGGAAAACCCAAGAGGAGAGAAAGAGTGGCCCTGGGGAAGTAGGCAGGGCCTGAAGGTTGTGTGGTCCTTCAGGAGCCAGAAGGTGAACAGTGGCAGGTACATCACAGCTGTGGTAACTGTCTCAGGTTCTTATATTTGTCCTCGAGTTTTATAATTAATAAACAGTAAAGGAAATCCCTTCCGAGGAGTTTCTCAATCAGTTCTGCATTTCTGGGATCTGCACTGTGACTTTGTACAAAGCATTCAAAATATTTCATGTTATGGAAAAGACCCAGGAAATATAAGATGAAACACAGACACACAATATGCCTAAGCGATGAGCATTATCCCTAGCTTTGGTGGTGGTATGGATCCTCCCCAGTATCTATCATTGCTTTTATTTTTGTTTTCCTCCACATAGATGTATCTGTAAAGAATGCACTATTTCATTCTGTAGAGTTCTGCACTTCACATAGGAGGAGGAATGGTATGGAATCTGGGCCACTTCACTTTCCTTGAGTCCATAGTGAGTACATCTGGCTATGCTGACTTCCCCTTTCTGTGTCCCAGCAGGACACGGCACACTTGCTTCTTGGCTTAATGAGACGTTGTCTCCCGGTTTTGTAAGAACACAATGCAGAGGACTCGTCAGATATCCTGCAGTGTGATATCTACCAGACGGCTGCACTCAAACAAGGCCAAGTTATGTGGGAGCTTTTTTCAAGCTGACACTGGCCTATAGCTCGGCCAGAGTTAGCACTATAGTGGACTCACATCTACATGATTCCTTGATACCCACCCATTGTTTAAATTTTGGTTAATTACTAAATCAGAAATACATTCTCATTTTGGTTTAAGTGTTTTCCAAATTAGGACATGAAGATAACCTTTAGGTAGCCAGACAGTCAACAATAAAGTGGGCAAAAGTGTTATTGAACTGGGAGACCCACTGCAAAGACTCCTTTGAGATATGTGTGAGGAGAGGTGGAAGGGAAGGTAGGGAAGGAGAGAAACCTGGGCTCTACAGTCACCCCCTCCCCCCGATTGTTTCTTTGAAATACTGAAACCATATACAGATGCTCCTCAACTCAAGAGGGGTCACATGCCAAAAGCCCTCAAGGTATAAATTTTCTTATTTCAAAATGGAATGAACAGACAATCAAGCATCACAGCTCAGCCCTGCCCAGCTTGTGCCAGCAGACTTACTTAAACGAACTGCACTTAGGCAAAGCCATGCCACACAAAGCCTAATTTATCATTAAGTGCTCCGTGTTGTAATTTATTGAATATGGCACTGAAAGATATAGAAGTAAGTGCCGATAGTTGTGGACTCACCTCATGGGAAAGCTGAAAATACGGCGGAGGACCATGTAAGCCAACCTCTTGTGTGCTCCTCTCAAGTGAGAACAAGTGTCTGGAGTAGAGAGAGGGTGACATGGGCAGTGGAATCAGAGAGAGAATCAAATGTTACTCGCTATGGAAAGGGTGAGCCAGAAGCCTGGATGTGGTGGTGTCTCTTTAACCTGCAGTGTGGAGGCCTGCACCTTTCCAGGAGCCCACGGGGGGCGGTGTAGAGTCGGAATTCTAAGGGGCCCCTTTGGCTTTCTCTGCCCCTTCAGGGCATTGCTCCTGCACTCCCCTAGCAACCTCCTCCACCCCTCCCTTGAGTTGAACTCTGCTGTCACTATCTTCCCAATGCCAGATGCTGCAAGGCTCTCAGGCCTGGCTACACTCAGAGTGACCCTGAGGGGGAGGTCAGTGGTCCCAGATACTGTGGCTTCTATATTGCCAGGCAATTCAGCTTCCCATTCAAGTTCCAGCAGCCCAGTCACCCCTGAGTTCCCCGCAAAAGCCATGGAGGACACAGACAGGTTCTCTGCTGGTGCCTGGGTGGGGGTCCTTACAGGAAAGCAGTCAGCAGTTGTATTAACAAGGTCCCGACCTGTTCTACCTCCAGCAGCACTGCAGCCCGGGCAGTTAAACCGCCAATAGCAGCACATCGTGCAGAAACAGCCCGATTGGCTGCAGACGGCACGTGATGCATTAGTACCTTGTAATTGGCTGAAGCATCATTGAAGGCCAGAGAGCTAAAGCAACTGGATATCTGGCTTATCCTCAGGGGCCAGGATTCCCATGTACAAAGTGACCGACACTGTGCCTTTCTAGCTAAAGGCTCACAAGCCATCGGCATTTCTGAGTCTTCATTGTCTGGGGCATGGAGTCTGTGGGGGCAGGCCTTCCATTGTCCAAGGAATGGAGACAGGACCTAGATAGAGCCTGTCCCCACATAGGACCACTCATGGTGACCCATGACTTGGGCACAAAAGTCCTATAGTCTTAGGGAGACAGGGGCAATGAGGCCAAGGGTCTCGAGCGCAGGGTATTGGTGCATCAGCCCCACACAGGCCTCTGCTCTGTTCTAGAGCCTCACTTGAATGTCCAATAATGTCCTTAGCCCGCCCTCTTCTGCCCAAAATGACCTGCTCCAGCCCAATATCTCCAAGCACCCTGAACGCAGCTCCACCCCATGCTCCCAGGGATGATCTGTTTTAGTCTTGATATTTCCCACGGAAGCAAACCCAGGACCCAGCTCGACAGATGAGGTTCTGCAGGGTTCCTTTCCACCAGGCACCAAAGCCATTCCTCAACTTATCAAGAGCATATATGTTTGGATTGTGTTGCAATGTTTAGTGTCTTTAGGTTTTGGTTTACATTTTTAAGATGGAATTTATTATGTACCTCTGGCTATCCTAGAACGTGCTTTGTAGATCAGGCTGGCCTCAAACTCACAGAGATACACCTGCATCTGCCTCCCATGTACTGGGAATAAAGGAGTACACCACCACATCCAGTAATGTTTACTGTCTTTAAAATTGCTGGCATGAGTTTCTTTAAGAGAGAGAGAGAGAGAGAGAGAGAGAGAGAGAGAGAGAGAGAGAGAGAGAGAGAGAGAGAAGTAATAAGTTTGGTTTTAGGTTGGTACAGAATTTCCACCAACTTCTGGTTTGACCCTAAGCACACTTTTGCTATGTATATGGGAAGTGGTACTCTCAGCATTGACAATCATAGAATCAAAATATCCATGAATGCTATTTAAAAAAAAAGTGAAGATGTTTTAAATCCTGCAGTGTCCCATACTCAAGCCAAGACTTAGTTTCATTTATACATTTATTTTATGTTCCCATATACCTAGAGTCTTGGAGGGAAAAGGGGTCAGGAATGGAAGACCTGTATAAAGACTGCTCTAGGTTATGGGGCTTTCTCTGGACCATAGGTGAGAATGTCACCTACCAGGATGTGCTTGTGAGAAACAAGAGGCATCCTATGAGTGTATTCTCACATCCAGCTGTCCTCAGCACGAGCATGAAATCAGCCCCAGGAACCATCACTGGACCAAAACCTATGGGTGTTCCAATCACTTTTAAAATTAGTATTTACATATAATCTGCATAACCCTGTACACTTACAGCTTCCCTAGATGACTCTTAACACAGAAGCCAATGCAAATGCTACATAAATACTGGCTAGCCTGTTTTTCCTAGGTGAGGAATCAGAGGGGCTGTCTGTACAGTTCAGGGCCTTGAGCATGCTGGACAGCACTCTGACCCTCAGCTGCATTCTCAGACCATTTTTAAAATCATTTTCTTGAGGCAGGGTCTCCCTAAATTGATTAGATCAGCCTTGAACTTGGAATTCTACTGTCTCTGCCTGAGCATGGCCTCTCCATTTCCTAAGCATTGTCCTTCTATGTGTGTCTGTGTCCTAATTCCCTTTTAAGGACACTGATCACTTTGGATTATAGCCTCACTGGTGACTTCATTTCCATCATATTCATCTTTCAAAGTCCTTGTCTTTGAATGAATGCATGATTGAAAGCACCAGGAGTTAGGACAGCTAAATAATTTGAAGAATATGTCTCCACCTGTGATGATGACCTCACATAGTCTTTATCAGGCCTCAGATCTGTCTACTCCCTGGGGTCAGTAGATACCCACTAGTGCCTTTTCTTAGCACAGATTTAAGTGTCCATGAGGAAAGTATATGGGAAGGCTCATGGGAGTCACAATCAATCTAACACTTCTTGTGAATTCATGACTGTGCCTCCCTTTCTAGGTACCACATGTCCCCTACTGCTCATCTCCTAGTCCAAAAAATGTGAGCTCCATGAGGCAAGGAACACCACTGCTGGATTCTCAGGGCCTAAGACAGAGCTTGGCATGTAGAAGGTTCTCAGCAAACATTGTCAGATAAATGAGTGGCAACATTCACCTGTCACTCTCTCTCTCTCTCTCTCTCTCTCTCTCTCTCTCTCTCTCTCTCTCTCTCTCTCTCAGACACACACACACACACACACACACACACACACACACACACACACACACACACCTTCAGTGCAGGTGGCATCAACCTTCTTTTCAAACCTGACCCATTTCCTGTAGCTAAAATTTTCCTGTGTCCTGCCTGGTCCACAGCCACTCAGACCCAAGTAAACACAGAGGCTTATATTAATTAAAACTGCTCAGCCATTAGCTCAAGCTTACTGCTGACTAGCTCTTACACTTAAACTCAGCCCATTTCTGTTCATCTATATGTTGCCATGTGTTCCGTGGCTTTACCTGTGTGCCATTACATGCTGCTCCCTGGACAGTGTGCTGGCATCTCCTCATTCAGCCTTCCTCTCCCAGATTTCTTCTTGTCTGCTTATCCCACCTATACTTCCTGCCTGGCTACTGGCCAATCAGCATTTTATTTATCAACCAATCAGAACACATTCACAGCATACAGAGCACCATCAGCCATCACATTTCCTAAATGATCTCCTCATGTGACTTTGGTTTATCTGTTATACAGACACTAACAAAATATCTCCAATACATTCAGAGCCTTAGAAAGGAAGCCATGGTTTATTTTTTGCCTCTCCCTGTCCCATGATCTCTGCTCCACTTGGCAGGCTTGTGTACATGCTGCTTCTTGTCTGGAGCGGCCTTTTCTCTCCTCCTCCCTGCCACCTGCCAGAGCTAAGGTCTTAAAACATCTTGGTAATTCATAATTCAAGTCTGTCTTTCCTAAATCTGATATTTGTGCCTTTGGATCATCCTCACAGTCCTTGTCAATTTTTTTAAATGAATAAATACAATTTTAAAACTATGGCCAGGTAACATCAATGTTTCTGTAATATATATATATATATATATATGAATGTGCTTACGAATATGAGCAGAAATGCTCTGATAAAGATCTCAAAATATTCACACCAGAGTATGTGAAGTGTCTGCTGGGAGAGGGAGTGAAGTGAACATGTAGGTTATTTGCACTAGATTTTCTTCTGTCCCTTGTTCTGTGGCCTTGACTCTTTCACATCGAGGATGCACATGGTACACAAGACAGCGGAGGCACAGCCACAGAAACAAAGATGGCCCCTGTGCCCACACTGCTCTACCATGGTTACAATGCTCATTTTCCTTCCCATGGAGTGTGGTGTATTAGAATTTTTCTAATCACCTGCTCATTCTCTCCTAAGTCCCAGAAGGCTGGCTTAGAATTCCTGTCACCTTGGCAATGTTGATTGAGAAACCCTTTACACCAATAGAAATGCACTTCCAGGATTTCAGTCCCCATGCAACCCTGGGAACAAATGGATCACATTAAGACATAAACCTTTGGTGCTGTTGTGCAAGCCTGCTCTTAGGAAATCTAGGTCAGACAACTGCAGCAAAGGAGAACACGATGTTGCCAAACACACCCTGCTCCTGTGGACCCCAAATGTTCTCATAGAAGCCCACACTTGATTCTAGAGGAGACACTTGAGAAGATCTGAGGCTCCTGATTTTCCTTGTTTCTTTCATTTTCTCCCCTAAGCCTAAAGTGATCAGGACTAGCATTACCACACAACTGAACACTTGTAATAAAAAAAAAGAGTGGTAATTAATTACACCCCACTAACTGTGGCATTAAAAACACATCACTGTGAGAGCCTAGGGTTTCCAAACACAGAGGATGACAAGCATTTCAGATTAAAATCTAATTTGAGGGCTGGGGAGATGGCTCAGCGGGTGAAGCTCTTGTTGAACAAGCATGAGTGCCTGGGTTTCGATCCCCAGCGACCACCTTAAAACCTAGATGTGGTGGTGCCAGTGTCCATAACCCCAGTGCTAAAGAGCAGAGACAGGCAGAGCCTGGGAGCTCACTGGCCAGCCAGCCCAGTCAAACTGGCAAGCTCCAGATTCAGTAAAAGATTCTCTGCAAAACACACGGTGGGAAGCAACTGAGGAAGACATTCTGATGTCAATCTGTGGCCACCACATGCACCCACTAGGGTTAGTGTTCCTGCACACATACACATGCATATACCAAACATGTAAAATCCAGTTTAACACAATTCAGTCTAGCCTCCATCTGGGAATGGCTAGAACATGTGCATACAGGACTGGGTGAGGACTGGAGAGGGAGATGATGAGTTTAGTTCACTAAATCTCTCTTGCTCAGCCCTGGCCCCTCCTCTTTGAGCCTTCTGATCTCCGCCCACTGAGTCAGCCATATGGCAACTTATGATACACTCTAATTTGTTCTCTTCCTTTGGTGCACCTGACTGCCTGTATTGTGTCTTTCTAGGCAGGTTCATTTTTTGTTTGGTTTTTGTTGTTTTGTCTTGTTTTGTTTTGTCTTGTCTTGTCTTGTCTTGTTTTGTTTTGTTTTGTTTTGTTTTGTTTTGTTGGGACAGGGTTTCTCTGTGTAGCCCTGGGAGTCCTGGAACTCACTCTATAGACCAAGCTGCCTTGAACTCAGAGAGATCTACCTGCCTCTGCCTCTCCAGTGCTGGGATTAAAGACGTGCGCCACTGCTACCCAGCAGGTCCATTTCTTTTTAACCAGTGTTAAACCAGAGATGGTGATGTCTGAAAGGTGAGGCAAATGTCTTAGGAAAAACCTGCCAGAATCCCTTGGTGCACACTCCAGGAAAGTAAGGCCAAGGGAGGTCACTTGACTCGCTTG